GTGTGACAGTGAGTGTGACAGTGAGTGTTTAAGGGAGTGTGACAGTGAGTGTTTAAGGGGGTGTGACAGTGAGTGTTTAAGGGAGTGTGACAGTGAGTGGGTCGATGGGTATGTCAGTGAGTGTGACAGTGAGTGTGTCAATGGGTATGACAGTGAGTGTGTCAATGAGTGTGTCGATGAGTATGTCAATGGGTATGTCAGTGAGTGTTGGTGAGTGTGTCATACAAACATAGGAATTAGGAATTAGAGGCGACTGTATAGCCCCTTGAGCTACTTTGCCATTCTATAAGGTCATGGGTCATCCGATTTTAACCTCAAATCCCAGGCATTTTTCAGCCTTAGTTCCTCAAATTCCTCTGTACACTTCCCTCATAATTGTAACTTTCTGTGATTCACCCATCCCCTGATTTATTGCAGCTTCTACGATGTTACTGATGTTGTCTACAGTGAAGACTGACACAAAACACCTTCTCAATTCATCTGCCATCTCCTTATTTTCCATTATTATTTCCCCAGGCTCTCATTCTATAAGACCTATACTCATTTTGTTAGCCCTTTTCTTCTTTAAGTATTTGTAGAAACTCTTACTGTCAGTATGTATATTTCTGGCTAGCTTTCTCTCTCACTCTTTTTCTTCCCTCTTTATAAATTTTTGGGCATTCTTTCTATTTTTTTTAATATTCTGTCCATTCTTCTGACCTGCCACTGTCTTTGTACTATTATGTACCTTTTCTTTTTGTTCGATGCTGTCTTTACCAGTTTTTTAATTAGCCACAGATAGTGAGTCCATCCTCTTGAATTTTCTTTCTTGCTCATTGGAATGTATCTCTTCTGTGAATTCTGAAATATCTCTGCTACTGCCCCACTATTGACATATTCTTTAACTTAATTTGCCAATTCACTTGAACCAGCTCTGCTTTCATGTCTCATAATTCCCCTTAATTAAATCTAAAGGAAAGGTCTCAGATCCACTTCTCTCTCCCTTGAACTTAACGCAAAATTTAATCATGTTATGGTCACTACTACTTAGGAGTAGATTTATTACAAGTTGATGAAGTAATCCTATTCAATTTAAGCTGGTTCTTAATTAGGCTATTTCCCCATTGAAGGCCTTTTCAAAAATCTGGTTTAAGGCTGACATCTACAGAATTCAGTCTGCGTGAGTGTGTGTTTCTGTGTGAGTGTGACTATCTGAGCCAGCGAGTCTGTTCACTAGTGCGCGTGCATGCTCAGTGCATTTGGTGTATCACAATATGGAGCATGTCAAGATAGAACCTCCACTTGAGACACTGATTCTGGCATTTTGCAGATTTGTTTTCCTTTTTGCTGTCAAGGAACATGTCTCCCTTTCTATTTTCAAGAGTGAGGAGAAGAAACACACTTTGGAAAATCCTGCTCTTTGTGACATGAAGCAGTTGTGTGTGTCACTATTTCAGTCAGCGACTACGCTCACCGTTACCAGTGTGTCTGTGAGAGTGTGAATATGATTGTCAGCATGTGCATCAGTGTTTGTATCAGCAATTGACCTGTGCGTGGCAGTATTTGTGTCAGTAAGTGCTGTTAGCATCGTATTTGTGTCAGTGAGTGTTAGTATTTATAATGGTGTGTGTATCAGTAGCTGTGTTAATGAGTGTATCAGTACAGTATCTGAGTTAGTGAATGTGTGATTATTGTTGTCAGCGAGTGTTGTTAGTATTTGTATCAATGAGTGTGTTAGGATTTTATCAATATGTGTGTCAATGAGTGTGTTAGGATTTTATCAATATGTGTGTCAGTGAGTGTGTCAGATTGAGTGTATCAGTAGTTATTGAGCCATAGAGCTGTACAGCACAGAAACAGATCCTTCGGTCCAACTTGTCCATGCCGACCAGATATCCTAAATTAATCTAGTCCCATTTGCCAGCATTTGGTCCATATCCCTTTAAATCCTTCCTATTCATATACCCATCTAGATGCCTTTTAAATGTTGTAATTGTACCAGTCTCCACCACTTCCTCTGGCAGCTCATTCCATACACGCACCACCCTCTGTGTGAAAAAGTTGCCCCTGAGGTCCCTTTTAAATCTTTCCCCTCTTACCTTAAAACTATGCCCTCTAGTCTTGGGCTCTCCTACCCTGAGGAAAAGGCCTTGCCTATTCACCCTATCCATGCCCCTCATGATTTTATAAACTTCTATAAGGTCACCCCTCAACCTCCAACGCTCCAGGGAAAATAGCCCCAGTCTATTCAGGCTCTCAGGGTTTGAGTGAAAATTTGTAGATTGGGTGCAGGTTGTAGATGTTGGTGTGTTCGCCGAACTGGGAGGTTTGATAGCGGATGTTTCATCCCCCTACTAGGTGACATCCTCAGTGCTGTGGAGCCTCCTGTGAAGCGCTGTTGTATTGCTGTGCGTTGTAATGGTCAGTATACCGGGTCTAATTCAATGTGTTTCAACTGGACAACACTAATATCATAGGACAAGCCAAACAGAGAACAGCCAGGGAATTCTTGGAGGCTTAGCATTCAGCCGCGGACTCCATCAACAAACACGTTGAATTAGACCCAATATACTGACCATTACAACGCATGGCTGGAACAAGCACCTACCAGAAACAGCAAAAACCAAACCATATAGATTTAAACTGGCACAAGACAACAGCGCTTCACAGGAGGCTCCACAGCACTGAGGGTGGTACCTCGTAAGGGGAAGAAACGTCTGTTATCAAACCTCCCAGCTGGGCGAACACACCAACATCTACTATTCAGGCTCCCCCCGAGAGCTCAAACCCTCCAACCTGGGCAAAACGTCCTTGTAAATCTTAGCGTTGACGAATGTATCAGTGCTTGTTTTAATGAGTGCTCATTGGTTGATTCAGTGGTTGTATCAGTGAGCATATCAACAGTTAGGTTGGTGAGTGTGTCAGTAATTACATCAGTACTAGTTTCACTGGCCTGTGGTCACACATGGGTACGTGGGGGTGTTACGTGTCTGTGTTTTTCAGTGGGAGGATCAGTGCTGCCCAGTGTCTGAAACACCCTTGGCTCAGCAACATTGCTGCGAAAAGCAAGCACAGCAAGATCCAACTGAAGTCACAGGTCTTGCTGAAGAAGTATGTAATGAAGCGTCTGTGGAAGGTGAGATTTGAAATACATTCTCTTTAATCACCCTGTTCAGACAGCACAGTGACACATCTACACATCCAGTAGGAACCGAACATGATCTGCCAAACTCAGAGGCAGGGACATTACCACAATGCCACAACAGCAATCTAAAACTCTCATTCAGTGAGAGTGTGTACTTCGAGAATAATCTGACCAGAGTCCAAAGTGAGAGATCAAAGGCCTATTTTCATTCATTCCAAACCTGTATATCATATTGCCCATTGTGTTCATGGCAGCTCTATGTTCGGGTCACAGAAAATTACCCTCCCCGGTCATGTTGTACTGTTCCTGCACATAGCTGTGTTTCATTTCTGTACCGTCTCTCCCCATCACTGACATATTCAGCTCTGCCTCAAAATCCTGACCCACCTCAGGTTTCAAAACCCCCTTACCAAGAAATATTAATAACTACATCAGTTCTTAGCAAGAATAAATTGGCAAACTTTTTGGAGCGCTTCCCTATCAGAGGGTCACTACTGAGGGAGTGCCGCACTGTCGGAGGGTCAGTGCCGAGGGAGTGCCGCACTGTCGGAGGGTCAGTGCTGAGGGAGTGCCGCACTGTCGGAGGGTCAGTGCTGAGGGAGTGCAGCACTGTCAGAGGGTCAGTACTGAGGGAGTGCCGCACTGTCGGAGGGTCAGTGCTGAGGGAGTGCTGCATTGTCGGAGGGTCAGTGCTGAGGGAGTGCCACACTGTTGGAGGGTCAGTGCTGAGGGAGCGCAGCATGTTCTGAGGTGCTGATTTTAAGATGCAGCATTTCACCAATGTCCCCTGTATTTGCTCGTGCTGGTGTAAATAGTTCCATTCACACGGTGACCGAAATGTTGCAGGTGCTCTCATTCTCCGTGCCAAGTTTTATATCACAACAAGCATCTTTAAAACCGATAGTCTGGTCATTTCCTCCACACAGCTGATTGTATCTGTCATGTATCTCTTGATGGCATGGTCTCTACATTTTAACAAGGACCTTTCCCAAAGTGTTCAATTAACTGTAAAGTGTTTAGGAGACTCTGAACATGTACACTACAGGTACACATCTTCCTTTGCATTCTAATTTGGGTCGTAAACATTTGTGTTGAAGTTGAGATATTTGCAGTGAAAGGGCTTTCATTGCCCTGTGAAAGTGTTCCCCACTCCACCCATCCTATCACTTGTTAGCACACTCACACTTTCACTCACAGACACACAGAGATACACATCCACACGCTCTCTCACTGCCACACCTCACTCATTCATTCATTCATTCACTAACACACTCTCTCACTGACACACTCATTCACTCACTCATTCACTAATGCACACTGACTCACTGACTCACTCACTGTCATACTCACTCACTGACTCACTCACTCACTTATCCACACAGATACTCACTCATTCCCTCACTCTCTCACTTGCAGAGTCACACAGACACCCTAACTCTCTCACTCATGTACAAACACACAAACACAAGCACATGCACACACAGGTCTGCATACACACACACACAGATGGTCACAGACACATGAACTACATCAACTCTCTCTCTCTTAAGCGCGCCACACATACACACAAACACACACACACAAACAAATACACACCCTCAGGTGACTGTCTGTGTGGAGTTTGCACGTTCTCCCCGTGTTTGCGTGGGTTTCCTCCGGGTGCTCCGGTTTTCTCCCACAATCCAAAGATGTGCACGCTAGGTGGATTGGCCATGCTAAATTACCCATAGTGTTCAGGGATGTGTAGGTGGGTTGTAGGGGGATGGGTCTGGGTGGGATGCTCTGAGGGTCAGTGTGGACTTGTTGGGCCGAAGGGCCTGTTTCCACACTGTGGGGATTCTATGAATGAATGAATTATCTGACTCAAGGCCCCTTACCTCCTCAAGTTTGTTTTAATGGCGGGCATGGCCTCACTCACTGATCTTTGGGACCTGATTTCTGCTGAAAAACCTTCCTGCAGATTAACTACCTGCACCCACTAGCCCTGCTGTTGTCCCCCTTCCCAGTCTCACAGTTTTTCCATGCCCCCTTCATCCCTTTACTCTCTCAGATCCCCACAA